GTCCATCGTACGAAGACTTACCTAGTCAGCCAAAAACTCAACAAGATCCAATATACTTGTGTGAGGTAGGTGGAGGAGAATATTAGACAAGGTAAGAAAATGAAATTAATTTCGGTAGTGTGGAATCACTTCAAAAAAAGAGTCATTGAGGGGGAAGAGATTAAAATTTTGTAACTACTGTGATAGAAAATTAAGGGTTAAAAGTAAAAATAAGACAAAACATTTGCATGATCATATGAAAAGATATCCACGCCGAAATAAAAAAAAATTAAGCAGACAATATTGAATCCAGTAAAAGGAGCTTATGGGAGGGTTTCAATGGGTACTTACGCCTTTGATCAAGACAATGCTTGGAGGGAACTTGGAAGTATGATAATCTTGAATGAGTATCCACTTTTAATGGTCGAACACATTGGATTTAGAAGATTCACGAATACTTTGCAACCATTGTTTAAGAACGTTTTTCGTAACACTATAAAGAATGTTATTTTGAAAATCTATGATTATGAGAAATTGAAAGTGATGAGCTTATTGGAGAAGAACAATGAAAAAATTGCAATCACTACAGACATGTGGACTTCTAATCAGAAGAAAGGATGCGTGGCCATCACTGCGCATTTTATAGATGAAGTTTGGAAACTTCAAAATCGAATTATGAGGTACTTTGATCTTGTATAAATTAATTAGCTTATTTTAAGGTACTATTTAAAATTATTTATCGTAATTATGTTGCTTTTATTTTGAAAATATAGGTTCATATATGTGCTGTGTCGGCACACGTTTGAGGCACTAAGTACATCATTGATGGATTGTTTATTGCATTGGAATATCAATCATAAGTTGTCTACTTTGATTGTCGATAATTGTACTACAAATGATGCCATGATCAACATTCTCTTAGATAAACTTTCTAGTAGTTCGCTCTTGTTAAATGGTGATTTTTTTCATATGCGTTGCTGTACTCACATATTGAACTTGATAGTTAAAGATGGTTTGGAGACCATTAACTCGAGTGTTGAGAAAATTCGTGATAGTGTTGCATATTGGACAGCAACTCCAAAAAGAGTAGAAAAATTTGAGAGTTCTGCACGTCAATTGAAAATCGCTTGTTCCAAAAAGTTAGCACTTGATCCCAAAATTAGGTGGAACTCTACGTACTTAATGATTCATAATGGTTTACAGTATATGTATGTTTTTCCTCGACTAAATCAACATGACTCACAATATATATGTTTGCCTAGTGATGAAGATGTGAAAGGTTGGAGGTCTTTTTTGAAGTTAATGAAATTTTTTCTGGGACTAAGTACCAAATATCAAATCTTTATTTTTCTAATATTTTTGAGATAAAGTTATCAATTTACGATTGGATGAAATCGCCTTATGAGGAAATCAAAATGATAGCTTCAAGTATGATTGATAAGTTTGAAAAATATTGGAGCGAGATTCATGGAATTCTTGCAGTAGCTAGTGTGTTGGATCCAATATCTAAAATGAAGTTGGATGAATATTATTTTCCAATGATTTATGGAAATGAAATTTTGGATCTCGAAATTGAAAAGATTAGAAAATTTTGTCACAAGTTACTAAATGAGTACAAAACAAGACATGGATCAAGCGAGAATGTGAGTTAATCTTCAAACCAAATCGAGGCATCTACTTCTATAAGCAAAAAAGATCGGTTGACGCAATTTGATTTATTTGTTTCTAATACCTCTATTAACTAGATCTAATGATTTTGACATATTTACATGATGGAATGCAAATTAAACAAAATATCATTCTGTGTACCATCCATAATATTCTCCACCCCTGTCGGACATTATAATTTTGATTTTTCTTTCTCTACTTCTACTTTATAAATCTTGAAGGCATCTAATGTCTCATCCTTATGACTTAGTAGAGATACATATATCTTAAATGATCATCCATGAATGAAATAAAATATCTCTAACCGTTTAGACAATGAGTGTAAAAAGGTCCACAAACATCCGTGTGAATAATCTCAAGAATGTGTGAACTCCTTTTGACACATTTAATGGTCTTGTTTGCCTACTTTCCGTTTGTGCAGTCAATACAAGTTCCAAAATCAATAAAATCAAGATTTGGTAAAATTTCATCATTTACTAATGTTTTGAACCTCTCTATGGAGATATGCCTCAATCCCTTGTGCCATAACTTAGAATAGTTTTCTTTAACAATACAACGCTTATTGCTAATACCATCACCATGCACTTCGGATAGCTTACACTCATAAGTGGGATCCAAATCAAATTTATATAAATTATCAACCAAAATGCCATGTCCAACGATAACGAAATTGTGAACTAAGCTAAAGCTTCTGCTTTCGAATACAAACTTGAAACCCAAATGTGTTAGTCTTGGAATAGAAACTAAATTACGAGAAAAGTTTGGAACATAAAATGTGTTTTTGAGATCCAAATGAAAACTAGAATTTAAAACTAATCTTAAGGTTCCCACGCCTTCAACAATTGAGCTCATCTGGTTTCTAGAATAGACACTTTGTTCATTTGGTTGTGGTTTCCTTAGGTCCAGAAAGCCCTGCATAGTATTGGCAATGTGAATTGTAGTACCCGAATCAATATACCATGTATTGTTTGGAACATTAACCAAAAGAGATTCATGGCACACTAAAAAGATAAGAGTACCTTTATTTTCGAGCCATTTCTTATACTGGTAATAGTCCTTCTTCATGTGCCAAAAGAAATAGACATCCTTATTTCTCTTTTGCTTCATTGGCATCTTGTTCTTCATTTTAGGACAATGTCTACCCTTGTTTTCATTTCCTTTATAATGAGTGGTTAGATGAGTAGTTTCCAACTTTTCATGCTTTGACCTCTCTTCCTCTTAAACACACATTGCCATGAGTTCATTTAGAGTCCATTTTCCTTATTTGTGTTATACAATATTTTAAATTGACCATACTCTATAGAATTAGAGTTCAAAATGAGATGAACAAATAATAACTCAAAAATTTCTATCTCCAGGGATGTAAGAAGAGCAGTAATGTCTCTCATTTCCATTATGTGCTCACACACACACACACACACACACACACACACACACACACACCCCCCTTTAGAATTGTCAAAATTCATACCTAAAAGCCTTTTTATTAAGGTGATGACCGACATTTTGTCAGAACTTGCAAATTGCTCTTCAATAGCCTTTATGAAGTCCTTGGTCTAATCACATTGAGGGATTGATCCCCCAATGCTTTTACTGACACGAGTGTACATGAGACTCAAGCTCAAGCGATTTGATATTTCCCATGATTCATTCCATGATCTCTCCTCTAGCGTACTTGATTCCGTAGGGACAAGTCGTTCATCTAAACGGAGCGCCAAGTCGAGATCCATGCATCCCAAAATAAGGATATTTTTTTCCTTCCAATCAGAAAAGCTAGCACCACATATAATTGGAATTCGAATAGAGTCACTGAAAACACATACATTAATTCTATAAAGACTATCTTTATATTGAATTAACCAATGTCAATTCAATTATGTAAATTCAAATCTTCCTTTGGACAGATGTTATCATACATTGAATTTACAAAGACGAGAGTAATATCATATACAAGTATTTCCATACCTATGGGTCTAAGAATTTTCTTGTTTCGATATTTAATAGCTACTTTATTGCAATTCAATCTTTAAGACAACTATTTCCCTGACCAAATTGTGATAATTCAAATAAATCGGGACCCTGTTCTGTCATCGTGTGGAAAAATCTTATAATAAAGTTTCAGTAATGATCCCTAATATATTGATTTATTAACAAGTGGATCCTCATCTTTTAATTCTAGTACAATCATTTGGACAAAACTATTGAATTTTTATGTTAAATACGAGAACGTTAGGTTTTCAAATTTCAACTTAGATTTGGCTAATTGATTTCAAAAATTTGAAATGTTATGCATTATTAGTAGGGGTGGGTGCGGGTCGGGTCGGGTCGATTTTGTTCGGTTCCAGAAATTTTCGAGTATTTAGTAAATAGAACCGTCGATTCCAAATATAATTTTGGAACCGTTCGGGTTCGATTCGGCTATGTTCGGTTCCGCACTATAATTAAATTTTTTAACATTTAGAATAATACTACATAAATACACCTGAAAGTAGATACTAATATTAATAACAAAAAGTAGATATAAATACCGAGTTCAATCTTAACTTTTACAAATTAACGTAATCTAATTTAATAACATATAAATAATAAGTTGTCAAATACAAATACCAAAAAGTAAATATTACTAGTAAAATTTCGATGATTCATATCAATAATTCATTTGTTTCAAACATTCAAGTTTACATAAAAATGAAATATAAATTAGAAATCATAAAAATAAAATATTTTAAAGAATTGATAATATTTACCAACTTTTTAATGTAATCATCAGTTGCTTGACTTTCCATACTAATTAATATGAAACTATACAAGAAAAAATTGAAAAAAAACACAATTAACAAACATAAATAAACTCTAAATTGTTCGGCTAATAAGATTTAATAAAAAAAAAATTCGATTCTTATTTGATTTTTCGATTTTTGGTCTAGAACTGAGAACCAAATCAAACCATTCGATTTTCGAGTCGAATACTTGTTCAGGTATTTCATTTAATAAAAATCGCTCGATTCGGTTCGATTCGGACATTTTGCCCAATCCTAATTATTAGAAAGGTCAAAATCACAATTTAATGAATATTTGGAATATTTACAGGCGAATTGTGCGAGTTTAAGTTTAATCAAAAGTTACGGAGTTTGGAGGTTAATTTTCTATTATAAATACATTAGGGACCCATATGAAATACTTTTAAAACTTTTTCACGCGTGACGCAGCAAATAAATATTACCGTTTACTGTTCATCTTGTTTTCACCTGGGAGGTTTAAACGAAGAACACAAAGGGACACCCCCAAATCACGACCACAGATCATTTTCCCTACAGTACCCGACGAGTTAGAGAGAGAAAGTACAGAGAGAAATGGCGAAATCGAGCGCCGACGACGAGGAGCTACGGCGAGCTTGCGAGGCAGCAATTGAAGGCACAAAGGAGAAGATCGTAATGTCGATTAGAGTGGCCAAGAGCCGCGGGATCTGGGGAAAATCCGGAAAATTGGGTCGCAGCCACATGGCCAAGCCCCGCGTTCTTGCCATCTCAAGTATGTAATTCAAGTTTAAGTGAGGCTTTGAAATATGTCAATTTAGTGTTGAGCTAACTATATCATGAAGGTTCCACTGCTAACAGAGAGGATTTGAATGAATTATATATTTAACTGCAAGTCTGCAACTTTTAGGTTTTTTATTTCTTATAAATGAAAAATATATCTTCAGCCGTATCCTTAGTTCTCCAAACTCTGAACTATATTATAAGTCTACTTCCATGCTCGGCTTGGCATTTCAGGTAAGGTAAATGAAATTATTTAGATTGGCATTTTACCTCCAAAGGAAAATGGAAAACTTTTAAATGCTTCTCTGCTAGCCTTGTCTATGTATGTTTAGATCTTACTGCTGCAAAATGTTAAAACTTAAATTATGTTGCTGCAGTTGATTCCCTTCCAGCCACTCCCACAAAAAAAAAAGTAAAAAAATAAAAATAAAAATCACTTTTTAAATAAAGAAGGCAAAGTAGATACATTGGTGCTAAGCAAACCCCAATTTGATTAAAGTTGGTTATATGCATTAGAACCATCCCTTTGTTTTCTATAAATGACGGGACAAGTTTTTTTTGGCTGCCCTCAGTCTCTTTTGTTCTGTTCGACAAAGATGGTAAAAAAAAAGAGTCACTATCTTAGTTTAACTTTGAAAGCACGAACGTTAATTGATTTCAATTAACTAGTTTAGACTCTTTGTGATAAGTAGCAAAATTATTAAATTAGCAATTAAAAGTAGCAAGTCACTTTTTAATTGTCTTTAGATGATTAATCAATCACGTCAATTTAACATATGTTGAATTACCACAATTTGTAATATGAAAGTAATAAAGAACACCAAATTGATCACGGAGAAACTACAATTGGGTAAAAACTTTGGGCGTTTTGCCATTTAGTAATCCACTATAAATCGCAGCAAGCTTATAGTATGGTCTAGACCCGTCCACCCAGTAGAAATTTTGACCTCAATTCTGGTAGTCTCCCTCGATCTTATTGAATGTGTGCTCTTTCAATACAAATCCCGACTCCTAGTTTATACCTTAACCCTCCTGAACTGCGTGCTCCTGACGCAAGATCTCGACTCCTAATACCTCACCTGAGTCCTCCTGAATTTGTGCTTTTGCAATAGCTCCTATTCCTAATATCGATTTATTTTTGGTGGATTAAATAAAGAACTCGTTCTTCGAGTTGGAGTTTGATTAAATGATCTTCTGTATTTTGATCTTGTGGTTTAGTGTGAAACATTATGGCTTGATCAACAACTCAAAGTTGAGATGAATTTATGACTCAAATAATATGATGGTTGAATATTTGAATCAATGAATGTGTTTTGGATCTTCAAATGAATGATCTCTATGGAAAAATATGATTTAACACACTTTTGGATGTTCTATAGGATGTACATTTATAATGGGTAGTGTTTGGGATGAAAACGAACTCAAAATCAGTTTGAAAAGCGAATATTAATGTTCTTTGGATAACCACGTCGCTCGAGCTTTAGGCCAGCGATAGGAGAGTGGTAGCTGAACAGTCGTCAGTATTTTCATAATAACTTTCTCTCCCGATTTCTGATTGAGTTAATTCAAAATTTGTTGAAAAGTTAACTCAAAGGGCTACAATTCTTCTAAAAATAGTTTTGTCCAAATTCCAATATTTTCTATGTGAAAAATGCGTTGTAAGTTGCGACTAAGAATTTGGAGCATAACTTGTGCGGCTTTTTGACACTCTTTGACTTTTAATTGCATTTCAATGATCATATGTAATTTTCTTGGACATCTTGGACTCATTAAAGACTTATACTACCAATTCCAACTCTTTTGCTATAATTAAGACTCAATAACTCCTATTTTGACTTTGATTACAACTTGATAAACTCCTAATATAATTCAATTAGGACATGATTTTGACTAAGAAAATTGCCAATTATAAAATTTAGAAATTTCCAATTATAATTTGGACTTAACAAACTTTATATGTACTCATGAATTTCCTATCAATAATTATCTGTTTTTATCAATTTCTTATAGTCTTATGCTTGTATTGGTTACTTTGGCTATTGCTACACACATTATCTACAGCAAAGTCTAAAGGTCAAGGGACTAAGGCTTTTCTTCGTGTCTTAAAGTACTCAACGGGAGGTGTTGTTGAGGCAAGTATTATTCAAACAATTAATGCCTGATGTTTTGTTGATTAGTGGCTTATCCATGCGTTTTGAGTTTAAGATTCAAATTCATTGTTAAGAAGCTACTTAATGCCTCAATTTACAATGAGTACTAAAATTAAATATATTTTTGTGGTACTTTTCTGAATTTACTCACCGAGCTCTTTGTTGGAGCACTTTACCTTGAAAGCAGTTCCAAATAAATCCCTGCTATTAACTGATACTGAACTTACTTCCTGTATTTGTAGCCAGCAAAACTGTACAAACTGAAGCATCTTTCAAAAGTGGATGTTCTGACAAATGATCCCAGCGGATGTACTTTTTTGCTGGTAATTCTTGGCATGCAACTATGGCATGTCTGCATAGTTCCTCTTGAAAAATATTTTCAAAAAATTTATGGGGTCAAAGCCCATCTTATGAAACTATCCTTCAATTTAATGAAAATTGATCCTATTTGTGAAGGGTTTTGATAACCTTAGAAGTCAGAGTGTTGCTCCTCCTCAGTGGACAATGCGCAATGTTGATGACAGGTACTATAGGGATCTTTTGCTCTCAAATTCTAATTTTTTTATGATGGAATATGTGTTTGTATCCTTTTCTTTGGTCCATGATTATTTCTTATGTTGTAGGAACCGTCTTCTGCTTTTCATCTTAAACATCTCCAAGAATGTTTTGGGTCGTCTTCCCAAAGTTGTTGGAATAGACGTGGTGGAGATGGCTCTTTGGGCTAAGGTACATATTAACATGCTGCATTTTGATATATTGAAACTTGATCCATGCTTTTCATGTCTATTGTTATGTAGTAGGTCGAAAACAATTCCTTATTGCCCTGAACTTCTGTTAGTTTTTATTCATCTAACTTGAAGGGGCTACAATTTTATCCCTTATAACGTGCTATAAAGAATTTACCCCTAAGGCGCTTTTATATATTCACAATGGAGATGTTGGATATCTTCTTGGTCAAATTTGCTGCAATTGTATGTCATTTTCTTTTCCGGTGTTGGTTCTTCATTTCTTCTATATTTATAGACTTATTGTTGATAGTATTTATGCACACATCGCTTAAAATGGACATGTAGTATGTTCTCATGAAAATAGAGGCATGTATTCTAATAGATAACTATAAAGGCCCTCTTTATGCTGACTGTTAATGCTAGTCTGAAATAAGAATAATGCTAGTCCAAGTGGTGCTATGCACCCATCTGTGACAGTGATTGTCAAATGAATAAAAATGTACCCCAACTGTATTGGACAATATGGTAGTGACCCCATTGTTGCATAAGTCGATGCTTAATACCACTAGAGCTAAATAGCATTACTCCTGAACTGATGCCCTCTGCATTTTAAAGATAGTAAAGAAAAAGACGACGTTTTTCATTTTTTAAATTAGTTACTTGTTATTTCTTTGATGATAAGTTTTGACTTGGAGCAATTATGCAATTAAACAATTATGGATATTTTAATTGCAGGAAAACACACCAACTATTACTAAGCAGAGGGGGGATCTTCAAGATGGCCCTGTTGCAGCTTCAGTTGCAGAAGTTGACACGAAAGTGACAGTTGAAAGAGAGCTCGTGTCTCAAGCAGAAGAAGAGGATATGGAGGCTCTTTTAGGCACGTATGTACTCATTGTTTCTCCTGAGTTTTAAAAATGAAGTAATTCTACATCGTGAAATTGATTTATACGTCTACAAACTTGTAACTTAATGTCATATGAAGTTTCAACAGTCAAGATTAAGATCTATTTTAAATGGGAAAAATGATGTTGAAAAGCATATATTTATTAATGGTGAGAAAGAAGTAGGCTTAGGTATACTTGAGTGAAATTGGGGCCTCACATAGCTAGTTGATTGGAAAGGGTACTTGAAGCATAAGGGTATTAGGAAATGCTAAAAACAACTTAAAACCCGAAGGTTGGCTTAAGTCTTTTTTGAAATGTGACTTGCTTTATTAGGATTTTAGAGATGCTAGTATTACTTTAAGCTGGTAAAGTTGGCTCATTAGGTTGAACTTCATTGAACCATGACTTGCTCGAAGTTTGGGATTTCCCGTGAAAGCTATTGTAGAAACTGCTTTCTCTACCAAAACAAATATAAATTTTCTTTTCTTCTAGAGTTTTGATTTTAGTTGTAAAAAGGATTGTGGTTTTGGAATCAAACAAAAGAGGGTAAAATGTTTGATACACATGCCCCTTCACGTCTAGGCAGGATTTATTTTTTTCATCAAAGCCTAACATGTGGACAATTCATTAAATAGGTGGTACCTCCACCAGGACCTTTACCCACTCTGATACTACGTTGAATCATTTGATCTAAAAGCATAAGCTAATAGACAAGATCAAATGTATATCATTTAAATACTATCTTCAACAAACTCATTTGTATTCATTGTCTTTGATGTGCCATCTACAAAGCAGGGGTAAGCACAAAAGATCTGCCTACAGCATTAGTTCATTTCTGCTAATATGTTTACAAAATAGTTTCCAAGGGGATATTCAATAACAATGATACTAATAAGCTAAATATATATTATTGAATCCGCCCGGGTGAATGCTGTTTATAGGGAAGCTACAGAATTCCCAAGATTTTCTATCTACTATTAATGGTAGTTGTGCTGAAGTGAAGTGAACCCTAATTGTGAAAAAGTATCTGTAATATCATTGTTAGATACTTCATATGCGTGCACATCACTCACACATTCAATACTTTCTTAGGCACATACGATGATCGCTTATTACTGGTTTATTTAGTATATTAAGTATCTTAACGGTTGAGACTGTTCAAAGCGCATGCACTGAACCATGTGGGTGTGGATTCTCAAATAGTACTACTATGGAAAAGAAATTGCTTATTTTTTCTTATAAGGAATTTCCACAAGTCATTGAAAAACTGATCCCCTCTCCCCTCAACCAAAAAAAATTAAAAGAAAATGTTCAAAAATTCATACAATGTTCTTGTTATGAAATTGTTTTTGCTAAAAGAAAGTGTTGTCAAGTGGGTTTGTATCCTATCTATGAATTTAATTCATGTGGAGCCATAAATTAAAAAAAAATCACTGCTCAATCTGTAAAGATTTCTAGTATAAATTTAATAGCGCGCCATCTTTTATTTACCTGTGCAATACAAACTAGAGAGAGAAAAAATTAAGATGGGCGAGTAAATTCCGATCGCTGTTAACAGAAACCAGGACATCATGCATACAATTATGTGCTCCGGTGTCCATAAATGTTGAAGTTATGCCGATTACAAAAAGTGAAACGTTAATTTATGATACCTTTATAGCCACCAGAGACTAAAATAATTTATTGCTAAAGTCAAATCTGTCTGTTTTATAGTTGTTGGTATTGTTTATAACTTTGACATTCTGCAGTAAACACATTTTTCCTGCACATTTCGAGCCCCATCAATGTATCTGCATCAGTTATTTTCATCTCACCAGATTCTCTCTCTTGGACAACATTATTCCAAGTTTGGTGGTATCTGCTTGGTTTGAAAACAAAGAACGAGCAAAATTGTGGCGTGATAAAAGTAATAATCAAACAAGCAAGCCTTATGCTTTAAACTGTGGAGATAGGGAAGGTAATGTAAATATGACAATATTTTAAGGAAGAGATGAAGATGGTGAAAATTGAAGCAATGAAAAGCAAATTGTGATTTAGGCTAAGGGGCCATAAGTGAAGGAAACTAATCAAGAAGTGAATGAGATATTAAGCAGAAATTTACTTGAGAGAAATCCCAATCCTTATTTAGTTCAAAGTGTGCGCATCTACGTAATGCTATATATAGGAAGACTTCCTTCTGCACATATAGAGTACCAAGCACAATGTAAAACATTAACTACACTTTGAGGAGGACCATACTACTTTACCAATATCTCTTCAACATATTTTAACTTTAAATAACGATGACAATACTACAAGTGGGGTTTCCAACATTTAAGGGGTGGCCGTAACTTATCACTGACACCGTTGACATGTCTTGCTCTTCTTAGTATGAGCATGTGTTGCATGAGAGCACTTCTGTATTTGGGTAATAGATTGTATCTTAGCATGTTTGTTTATAGTTATTTTTTTCACTTTGTGACGTGTGCCAAGTACTTCCACAGTCTTGGTAATACGTGCACTAAATGGGTTTTGCTTATGTTAAAGATATTAGCCAATGCAACTGCATTAGAAGAATTTTATTTTAATACTTGTTGACTTTTAGGCTCAAATTTTCTATTTTCATGAGATCTACAAACTACGGAATGATGGATTATGCCACCCTTGTGGTGGTTGCTTTGAAAAAGAACTACTGAATGATGTATTTCTAATTTTCTCTTGTTTGATGTTTTCCTACTTCTGTTGGAATTCTTTGACTCGCGAAAAGGTCAAATATTCTTCAAATTGCAGTTACTTTTGGTGGAGTAAATATTTCTTGCTACATTTTTCTTCCTTCTTTTTTACCTCAATTTCATGTTTTCTATGGTGTTATGAGGCAACTAACTAATCATCCTGCATTGTGACTACTTTTCCTTGTTACTATAGCTCAGTGCTGATATCATTAATGGCATAACTTGCAGTTATGTAATGGGGATTGGTGAAGCAGAGGCATTTTCTGAGCGGCTGAAGAGAGAACTTCAAGCTTTGGAAGCTGCAAATGTTCATGCTATTTTGGAGAGCGAACCTTTAATAGATGAGGTAATTCATCTTTCCTGGAAGAATATTAGGTGTTAGTGCTTATATTCCAGCTAGTTTTAATTCTTTTTAGTGTCCAGTGATCTTAATTGCTATTAGGCTGATAATAGTGTCACCACACCTGTATCACCTCTTGTTCTTCCATCTGCCATGTCACTTTTACATTTGATAGCTCAAATATATAACTGAGCGGCTACTGTTTTACAGAATTAAAAAATGACAATGGATAATATTAATAAACATATTTTATTTTCTTAGTGGTCTTGCATTTGTGTTCTGAAAAGCGTATCGAGGAAGCTATTTGTTTACTTACATCTGGAATTTATTTGATCTATATTTGGAGCCATAATTTTTAACAGTATTGGCACACATCTTATATGATAAGACCTTTTCAATGGGCTAGTTTCAGATATTGACCAATTTTTATGAGTCCTTTGTTTTGAACATATTTTCAGTGGTATATGGATTATATTTTGAGTTTTAATTAATTAATTTATTTTTATATAACTTACAAGTTGATTGCTGTATAAGAATTCTTAGTTATCTGTTTCTGGGTTCTGCAGGTGTTGCAGGGGCTTGAGTCAGCTAGTAATTGTGTTGAGGACATGGATGAATGGTTGGGAATTTTTAATCTAAAACTTCGACACATGAGAGAGGACATAGAATCAGTATGGATCTCTCTGCATATTGCTATGTGATTAGAAGTGTATATTTAGTATTATCATGTGTTCTTTTCATATATATATACTTCATCTCATTTGTATATCTATACCATATTGTCTGCCTCTATTTGCTTCTGAGTTTTATGTAGGTTTGGCAGATAAGTAATCATTAATTTTCTCTCTTATATTTAGATAATTTGATTATTTGATTTAAGGGCAACAATGTTCCTTGTTGTGAGACAACTTGGAACTAAGTGCTTGGCTCTATGTTGCTCATGCTGTGCAATGTTTTCATGGGTATGTAGATTGAAGTACGTAATAATAAACTGGAAATGCAGTCTGTCAACAACAAATCATTAATTGAGGAACTCGATAAGCTTCTTGAAAGATTATGTATCCCTTCCGAGGTTCCTTTTTTTACTTTCATCTTTTAGATTTTAAAATGGACTTCATTAGGTTATATAAGGTGATCTTCACACTTGACCTTTTGTTTTTCAATCGCAGTATGCAACATCTTTAACAGGAGGTTCATTTGATGAAGCGCGCATGCTTCAAAATATTGAAGCTTGTGAGTGGCTGACTAACGCTTTACGTAGTCTTGAAGGACCCAACTTGGATCGTGGCTATGCAAACATGCGAGCTGTATGTAGACAACCTGATTTTCTTTACTTCTGCTAGTTTTCTTGAAGAGATTAGTTGTGCAAATATGGTTGATATGAAGAAAATGACTTGAGATAAATATGTTTGGGTGTGTCTTTCCAACATTATTGATAGATGCAGACTAGCTGTGAAATTGATTTTTGGATTTCTTTTCTAGGTCCTTGCTTTAAATAGAACTACTAAAAAATGAACTGGTTAAATTATGGTAAAGCATGAAATTGTGGGTTGGATAGAGTGAAAAAGAGAATTAACATTGTTGTTTGTGCAAGCATTCACGATATATTAAGCTTGTAGACTGTGTAATAGATTGCTCATTGAGTTGCATATTAGATCAATAGTACATGATAGTTTTTAGACAATATCTCTTACTAGCCACATTGTTGAGTCTGTTTCAGGTTAGAGAAAAGCGGGCAGAACTTAACAAGTTGAAAACTACTTTCGTTAAAAGAGCATCTGAGTTTTTGAGAAATTATTTTGCTAGTTTGGTGGATTTCATGATAAGTGACAAGAGTTATTTCTCTCAGGTATGGTCATGTTGTGATGCTTTATGGTTAATGATTATCATTATATGAGGGTATCTTACTTTTATGCTTTTTACTTGGATAAAAACAGCGTGGACAACTGAAGAGGCCTGATCATGCTGATCTGCGGTACAAGTGCAGGACATATGCTCGCCTTTTGCAACACTTAAAAGTAAAAAAGAGTGATTACGACACTTAGTGCTATTTGATGCCCTAGCTTATATGTATATATGTATATATATATTTTTATTTTTTATTTTTTTTTTATTTTTTGGTCTCCTGACATTCTTTTCTTGTTTGCTTCATATTTGCAGAGTCTTGATAAGAACTGCTTGGGCCAATTAAGGAAAGCTTACTGCAGTTCTCTGAATTTGCTTTTACGTCGGGAGGTGAGGGAACAATTGTTTTTTGTGCTAGGGTCTTGTATTTGTCTTTTTTATTCTTCAGGTTAACAATTTGTAATATATGTTATCCAAGAATAAGGTTTTATAATTTGTGGTGCCTTCCTATTTGAAGAAGTTCACTGGGATTGGATTGAACTTGAATATTAAGAGGAACTTGCATGAATAACTTTGCAGTGCCTGATTCTATGGGTTATGAGCTTGAACTCGGGTGTTAGTGTAGCTTGGCATCCATAAACAGTTTGAATCTCCAGTTTTAATTAGATTTTTCTTAAATATATTGCTAGAAAACTAAAGCTTGCATAAGTTTTTATTTTTTATTTTTTTGGTATTAATCTCGATGAATGTTACGATCCCAAATTTATTGGGAATTAGATTAGTTTTTTGTTATTTATGGTCACTTCGCTGCAACTTCATGATTCAAAATACCTGTGATTCTAGGAATTCTTCAAGTTAGTTTTACTTCTATTCTTATTGCTGAGAAAATTGTCAATGTAGGCAAAAGTGGAGGGATCTTGAAGATGGTTTTATGGTATATGGGGTTCTGGAATGATACATTAAAATGCTGGTCTAAGCAATAATATCGTATAAATTGGTTTTGCCTGAACTTTTAAAATGCAATTAATGTTCTGTACTTGAGTTCCTGGGTTAATGTTTTGATTTCTTTGGTTTGTGTTGTATGCATACCTAATGTTTCATTTCATAAGCCCAACCAAAATCATGCTTACTTCCTACCAAAATCAATTGTATGTTTGATATGAATTATATTATGGGCCACCTTTTGATCTTAGCCCTACATAATTGGGGGCAACCTTCCTCTGAACTCCTCCATATGAGGCTTAAACCTAAAATCACTTGGAGGAGGTATAATACTTTGTAGTTTTTCTAACAGTTAACCTCATCTTATGTCTGTTTTGATTGTTTACTTCTGTTGAGAGCTTGGAAATACTTGTTTTTACAATGTTCTATTTTTACTCAACAGGCTCGTGAGTTTGCGAATGAGCTTCGTGCTAGTACTAAAGCATCAAGGAACCCAACTGTATGGCTTGAAGGTTCTACTGGTTCCAATCAGAGTGTGAACAGTGCAGACACGTCTACAGTTTCTGAGGCGTATGCTAAAATGCTTACAATTTTCATTCCACTCCTCGTAGACGAGGTTATAATTGATGCCTTATGAACTCTCTCTCCACTCCCCAGAACAACACCCTATCGGATACCTACTTATAACAACTCTACTTCTTTTCACGAACTGCAGAGTTCTTTTTTTGCACACTTCATGTGCTTTGAAGTGCCCGCTCTTGTTCCACCAGGGAATCTTGCCAATGGCAGCAAAACTGGACCCAATGATGATGATAATGATGATGATCTGGGCATCCTGGATATTGATGACAATGACAGCAAATCTGGTAACTTTTCAAGTTTTCTCAACTCTTACTTTAGCATATGAGAAATTGTTTTATCACTCTTGCAATTTTGTAGGTAAAAGATCTGCAGATCTGGAAGCATTGAATGAGTCACTTCGTGATTTGCTTGATGGGATACAGGTGCTGACTATTCAAAAATCCCAACTTTGATTTATTAGATTTCACATCTCAAGTTCCAAAGTTTTGACCAACAGAATTTCCCCTCCCCTTCTCGTTTTTGTGTTGATTTTTTAGGAAGACTTCTATGCTGTTGTGGACTGGGCATACAAGATTGATCCTCTGCGATGTATATCCATGCATGGCATTACAGAACGATATATTTCTGGTCAGAAAGCTGATGCTGCAGGATTTGTACGCATTTTACTCGATGACCTGGAATCCAGAATTTCTATGCAATTCACTCGTGTGAGTTATAACTTTCTTCTTTATCCATGTAACATCCTTGTATTTGAGTAATGATATTTATTAAAAAATATTGATTTAATCCTGTAGTTTGTTGAAGAAGCTTGCCATCAGATTGAAAGAAATGAGCGAAATGTTCGGCAGGTGGGAATCTTGTCGTATATACCGAGGTATACTGAACCTGATAATTGAGATTTTTTTTTTCGGTGTATATTGATAAAGATCGTCATTCTTCTCGTGTTGGTGATTTTTAGTTTGTCTTACTCAATTTATAACTACACCCAAAGTAAATTATACTAAAGTTGTGTTGACACTATTGCTTAATTCCGTGACCTTTTTCCAATCTTGAGAGTGTTAATTGGATCTCAAAATGAGTGAAAAGCAAAAACCTCGTGTTTTTCGAAAATAGTTTTGAATTCCCCATCTTTTCAACAGCTAAACCTAATAGCGTGCATTTATGCCCTTTGCCCACAGCTAGCAGGATATGATTCTCAGTTGCTTGAAACCAGGCTTGAGAGTCAGGGGCGGACCCAGCACTCGGCGAGCCCTGGTGGCGGCCCGTGCTGCATCCTCCGGGAACAATTTTTTTTGGTTGACAATGAATAAACTTTTTAGATTATAGGAGATCCACTTGGTAATTTGTTTTATTTTCAAATATTTCTTGTAGCTCAACTGGGTAGAGCTCCTATATTCATATAGGAGGTCCCAGTTTCAAATCCCTTTTCCACCGTTTTTATTGATGTAAGATTTTTAATACTTTAATTTTTACCTTTTTCCAAAATTAAATGGGATGGAGAGGTGATTCGAAACCATGACTTCTCCTTAGAATAATGAAAGCTTGACCATTGTGACACTTCTTGCATTTGATTCTAAATCTAAGAGAATAATATATGTTACATTTTAGTTGGTTTAATGCAATTCTAAAAATTTGAACCCATGCTATTCCTTTGAATTATACAAAGGGAAAAATTCACTTTCCCTACTTTATCTTTACCCTATTTCAAAAATAACAAAACAACTTTTACATTTCAAAAATCAGATTTTTTAACCTAT